AATCAATAATAACATCTATAAATCTATTTATATTTTAGGTTAAAAACACTTTTTCAAAATATTAAATAATAAAATATATTATATTATTCAAACATTTTATATTTATTCATCCTTTTTTCATCATTTGCTATTAAAATTAAAGACAACTAATCTTTATGATTTAAGACACTTGCGTATTACTTTGAATTATTATGATTTTAACATTGGGCTAAAAATTTAAAAATAAATTGAGTAAATTTTAAACAAATGTCAAAATAGAATAAACTTTTAAATTTAAAATTATTCTTTAAATTAATAAATAAAATAATATTAGTACAATAAAAAAGATAAAAAAATAAATCAAATAAAAATTATCAAATAAATTCAAAGAGCTGTTTTGTTTTATATTCATTTTTATAGTTTAAAATATCACAATCCAAAACAAATAAACTGTTTTTACTCAAGTCGAAGTGTCAAATTTGAGAGATTAATGCATTTTGCTAAACCAGAACTTAAGCCTGATGCACCCATTGCACCAATGAAACTAAAACTTTTTAAATATTGAAGAAAAAATATATCATTAAATAGTTAATTAGAAGGAAAAAATGAAGAAAAAATATGAAATAATAAGATTAATTAATTAAAAATAAAAGCAAAAGTTTAAAATAAATGATAAGCTTAATTAACAAAGAAAAAACAAAAAAAAAGCAAGCACGATAAAAAGAAAAAGAAAAAAGATCTTTATTGTTTTAAATTAGTTTTTATAATTAAAAATATCACAATCCAAAACAAATAAACTGTTTTTACCGAAGGTGAAGTGTCAAATTTGAGAGATTAATGCATTTTGCTAAACCAGAACCTAAGCCTGATGCACCCATTGCACCAATTTAATTGTCACTTTTAAAATTTTGAAGAAAAAATATATCATTAAATAGTTAATTAGAAGGAAAAAATGAAGAAAAAATATGAAATAATAAGATTAATTAATTAAAAATAAAAGCAAAAGTTTAAAATAAATGATGAGCTTAATTAACAAAGAAAAAACAAAAAAAAGCAAGCACTATAAAAAGAAAAAGAAAAAAGATCTTTATTGTTTTAAATTAGTTTTTATAATTAAAAATATCACAATCCAAAACAAATAAACTGTTTTTACTGAAGGTCAAGTTTCAAATTTGAGAGATTAATGCAATTTGCTAAAGCAGAACCTAAGCCTGATGCACCTTCATCACCAATTTAATTAACCCTTTTTAAATATTGAAGAAAAAATATATCATTAAATAGTTAATTAGTAGGAAAAAATGAAGAAAAAATATGAAATAATAAGATTAATTAATTAATAATAAAAGCAAAAAGTTTAAAA